GAATAGGAATAGATCAGAACATCATTATGTTGTGCTACAATTACTTTTGCTCATTTTTAGGATCCTACAATAAATGTTTAACAGATACAGTGGTGTCTCGCTTAGCAATTGCTCCATTGAGCGACGAAATCGCTTAGCGACGGGGTTTAAGTGATCGCAAAAGCGATTGCTTAGCGATGGTCCCTATGGGGAAAATTCGCTTTGCGATGATCACAGGGAAGGGATCACCGCAAAGTCCCCATTTTTACTCTGCCAGGAAACCTATTAAAACAATCACTAGGAGTTCTGAATCTATTTGCTGTCTCCTGTCTAAACTTTCAGTTACAGTATTGTTTATATGCATGTACACAATAATCTGTAATGTATTAAGCAAGACTTGAATAGGAATATATCAGAACATCATTATGGTGTGATACAATTAATTTTGCTCATTTTTAGGATCCTACAATAAATGTTTAACAGATACAGTGGTGCCTCACTTAGCGATCGCTCAGTTGAGCGACGAAATCATTTAGCGACGGGGTTTAAGCGATCGCAAAAGTGATCGCTTAGCGATGATCCCTATGGGGAAAATTCGCTTTGCGGTGATCGCAGGGAAGCAATCACCGCAAAGCCCCCATTTTCGACCAGCTGATCGGCGGTTTCAAAATGGCCACTGGAAAAACAAAATAGCCGCCTGCTGTATTGCCTCGCTTTAGAGGCACTGAAAATGGCCGCTCCCATGGAGGACTTTCGTTTAAGGTTAGTTTTGAAGCCCATAGGAACGAATTAATGGTGTTTTAATGCATTTCTATGGGCTTTTTAAATCTGTTTAGCAATGAAATCGCTTAGCAACGTTTTTTCCTGCACGGATTAACATCGCTAAGCGAGGCACCACTGTATTTCCAAAGGAAATATCACATTTCACATGCAATCCTGTGCATGCTTACATACATAATCTTAACAAGAACATATCACTATTAACCCATTCAAATCATTCTGGCTTGAAAAAGTAAAAGCCCTTATAAAATGTAACCATTTTATAAGCGGAGCAAATCCTGAAGTATTTGACCCTGTAGCCGCAGTCTATGAGAGTGAATAAGAATGAATGTCAATGCCATACAGGCGTATCCACACCTCCAGTTAACTCTTGATTATTTTCTTTTTTCTTTCTTTTTGCCATCTTGAATAATTTAATAATTTACTAATTTACCAGTTTATATTACAATTTTGTGCTTATTTGTATGTGAATTGTAATAATAATTTGACCCAGGGAAGTTAGAGAAAGATGAGAGGACAATTTCAGCACTTTGTTAAACTACAATTCTCAGTAATCTAATAATGTTTATACTGAAGTTAATCTGTTAGTCAAATTATTATTATCAATAATATTTGAGAAATCTTGGAGAACAGGAGAAGTCCCCACAGACTGGAGGAGGGAAAATGTTGTCCCTATCTTCAAAAAGGGTAAAGGTTGCTAATTCCCCAGATGACAGGATTAAAATTCAAAATGATGTTGACAGATTAGAGTCCTGGGCCAAAACTAACAAAATGATTTTCAACAAGGAGAAATGTAAGGTCCTACACCTAGGCAGGAAAAAATGAACTACACAGATATAGGATGGAAGACACCTGACTAGACAACAGTACCTGTGAAAGAGATCTAGGAGTCTTGGTAGACCACAAGCTGAACATGAGTGAGCAGTGTGATGCGGCTGCCAAGAAAGCCAATGCAATTCTTGGTTGCATCAATAGGAGTATAGTGTTTAGATCAAGGGAAGTGATAGTACCGATCTATTCTGCTTTGGTTAGACCTCACCTGGAGTACTGTGTCCAGTTCTGGGCACCTCAATTCAAGAAGGATGTTGACAACGTGAAATGTGTCCAGAGGAGGGTGAACAAAATGGTTAAAGGTCTGGAAGCCATGTCCTATGAGGAGTGGATTAGGGAGCTGGAAATGTTTAGCTTTACAAAAAGGTTAAGAGGGGACATGATAATCATGTTTAAATATCTGAAGGGATGTCATGTCAAGGAAGGGGCAGGTTTGTTTTCCACAGCTCCAGACACTAGGACAAGGAGCAATGGTTTCAAACTATAGGAAAAGATTTTCCACTTGCATCTCAGGAAGAAGTTCCTGACAGAGCTGGTCAGCAGTGGAATATGCTGCTTCAGAGTGTGGTGGCCTTCTTTGGAGGTTTTTAAGCATAGGCTGGATGGCTATCTGTCGGGAGTGCTTTGATGGACTTCCTGCATGTGGACCAGTTGGGGGAGCGGGCTCCGTGGGTGGACGTGTCGCGCTTGTGGGTGGGCATGTTGTGCATGCGCCTCATGAAACAATTAACACAGGTATCCTATCCTCTGAATAAACAGGCTAAGGACACAGAGAAACTCTATCCAGCATTTTGAACATATGCAAAAGCAAATCTTACAGTTTGAGAAACATCCTATGAGTAAGATACTTCAAAGAAATGTATAAGAGAAAAAAATCTTAAAAGGAATACCAGTTTTAATTACTTATTTATGGTGATTTATGTAACTATACATAAAAGCTATCCTATGCATTAAAGTGATCAATTCTGCTGTTTGCCCATTATGTGATTTATCAGTTTTAGGGTGTACATGTATTGACTTCCCTGCTGGCATCAATAAACACTTTCATAATACTGTACTTCACAGCTTAGTACTCCTCCTAGCAGATTTTTAAGGAAAGAGTCCTTACATTTCTGTAATCACGATTTTTTCATTTTAATGCTCAACCGCAATCCTCCAGTTGTGCTTTCTTCTTTAATCTTCCTCAAATGGTTTAAGTTATGGCTACTTTGGGTTAGAATATTAATAACAAAATAAAGATAAACTGGGAAATGCAAAGAGAATCTACATAAGTGAAAAGACAGCAAAAACAAACACCTGTTGTTTCAAGCAGTACTTCAAAGCAATGTTTAATGTGAACGTTACATTTGAAAGCACACAGCAGCCTTATGCAACAGCCATTATCTCCTATACCAAATTATCTTTAATTCTTCTTTGGCAATTATTGTGAATACTACAAATGTATTTTCAGCTTTTTTATTACAGTATTATAAAAAATAAACCTTTCTGAAGTTGCATCCATTAACTCTGTCATTTTAAAGTAGTAGTATCTTTTAAAACCTATAGCCAAGTATGTGTTCTCTTTATGTATTTGATATCACTGTTTGAGAAATAATTGTGTCAGTATGAAAATGTAGCCAAAAATCAGACTATATTGTTTAAGTTAATTATGTATGGCTACTTTTCAAGTATAAAGAGGAATTAACATCAAACATCCTAAAGACCCCTTTAAAAATGCATCTTTTGTGTGATATACTGTTCTTTGAGGAAACAAAGGGAGGATTTACATGTGAAGTTGAAATGTGAAGTTGAAGTATCTACATTATTGGATAATAGCCTCTGCAGACATCAAACAACAGTACTTCTGGATTAAGTACAAATGTTTCTGAACAAATGGGGAAATGAAGAAGAGAGCTTAAGAGATAGACACAATCTTGAGTTTCAAAGTAAATTAGTAACTAGAGTTGGGGACAAATATAAAAACGGATTGGTTTTTCCGACGAATATAGACGATTCATTAACTATTCATCGATCTGTATTTGTGGGTTCCAGAGACCCACACAAATACAAAGGGATGAATATTTAGATTTTTATTCGTCCTTCGTAATTTTTTTTAAACCATTCTACCTACCGGCCGCCAATCAGCAGCAGAAAGTAGCCACCACCTCACACAGCCACCCAATACCACACCCTACCCCACCCCTTCCTTTCCCTACCTTAGGCCCCACGCCATGCCACCCCCGCCAACACCCTTTCCTTAATTGCTACTGCCGAGATCTTCTGGTCTTGCAGCCACATATAGCATGTAAAAAGGAAGATTGGCTGCCCTTTGCAAAGATGTCGGCTGTGGCTTCATTTAGGTTAGGGAAGCTGCAGCTGCCATCTTTACAAAGGGCAGCCTGGATTCCCTTAGCCTGTCTAGCAGATTCCCTACCCTAAATGAAGCCACAGCTGCCATCTTTGCAAAGGGCAGCCAGTCTCTCTTTTACATGTGTGGCTCCGATGTCTGATGGAGACCTGGCAGCAGCTATTAAGGTATGGGGGTGTCTATGGGAGTGGCATGGGGCCTAAGGTAGGGAAAGAAAGGGGTGGCGGTAGGCTGTGGTATTGGGTGGCTGTGTGGGGCGGTGGCTGTCTTTCTGCTGCCGATTAGCTGATCGGGGGCCGGTAGGAAGAAGGGCTTCTGTGCCATGTGGTAAACTCTCCTGGGGGGGGGGGACCCAATTTGTTGGTGAATAACTCACATGTCCAATATCCAATCTTCACCGAAGTTCACAGCCATGTTGGGGAAAGACATAGGAAGCTCCATTGTGATTTTGGATTCTCTAAGTACCTGGGGGGAGCTTTCCTGGGGGGTCCTTTTTGTGACTATATAATTTGGGGGTCTGTGATCTAATGAGCACCAAACATTCAGGAATTGTAGAAAGGCATTTGAGGAAGCTTCTCTGCAAATTTGGCATCTCTAGGTGGCTGGGGTCCAGTGTTATAGCTGTTTAAAATGCAGACAAAGAGACAAATTGACAAATCGATCCGTCGAAGAATATTCGTACCGTATTTTTCGCTCCATAAGACGCACCTTTCCATAAGACGCACCAATTTTTTAGGAGAAGAAAACAGGAAAATATAATCTGTTTTCTTCGCTCCATAAGACGCACAGACTTTCCACCCCCCCCTGTTTTGTGGGGAAAAAGTGTGTCTTATGGTGCAAAAAATACGGTATATTTGCATTCATTGATCCGTTAACCTTGATGAATGATGGATCAAAACGAATCGCCATTTTTAAAATTTGTCTCCATCTCTATTAATAACCCAAGCCTCTCCCTTTATAGGCCAAAACGAGATCCTGGTGTGATTAAAAGATTTGATATTGTGTGTCACCAGTGCTGATAGACAGGAGCAAGAGAAATACACAGACCTCCTGACAAAACTGGTATTGCACATGACAAATATATTGTTTCCCTGAGCATTAGCAACATACATTTAAAATTCCAAATGGTAAGGAATACACAATTATTAAGCAGCAATATATGCTTTATAGGAGATACATCTTTACACCTGTGATTACATAAACCTGTGAAAGAATTTACATTCATAAGACTGGAATTTCACATTCATAAGGAAAAATACAGTTTAGTATGTAAACGTAATTGTGTAATTTTACAAAATTATTAACAAGTGATTAATCCTTCATTTTAGTCCCTTTAACATAATTACAATAAAGCATGTAATGTATGTTCAGGATTTAATCAGTATCAAAATGAATACAGAAAACCCATCATCAAGTTATATATAGATAAGAATACATAAATACTCTACTATATAAATGTTGAAATAAATCAATCGATACTGTCTGATGCCTTTCCAATGTACTCCTAGTGTCTCTGATAACATGTGGGCACTTTGAAAAAAACAATGAATGGAAAAAAGTAAAATCGAAACTCTTGAAAATAATATTTCTCCGCAGCCACTTTGGGCACAGTGGACCCAAGCTTAAGCAGCTGAAAAGACCCATGATTTCAATGGAGAAATTTGATGCTTTACTTTCCATCTTAATAATGGGGGAATAAAAATGTACATGTTTGGCTGGATTTTGCTCAATTGAGTGTTTTTTTAAAAGGATGTGATGGTGCTAGATTTACAGCTAGTAATAACTGCTCGAGGAGTGAGGAAGGAAAAAGACACATATTGAAGGCATTATTTATAATAACTTATAAAATAGTTAAGTATTATTGCAGTTCATATAAAGACTAGGCTAGCAATTATGTTTAATACATGAGTCAGAATCCTGTTGGTGATTTGTACGGGTGTAAGTGTAATTGTATAAAGCATGGTGGTGAATTTCCATTAATGAATGAATTGCTGCTAATATTCTAGATCATGTGCCAGTCACACAATTAGGAATGTGAGCATTACTTAAAAGCAGTTCAACATCACCATTTACACCATTCTACTTACATCAGTATAAATCCAGCTGCCTCATAGATTTGTTTTCTTACTGACTTTTCCATTTGCCATTGACATGATACTTACCTAACCAACACTAACACCCACCCCTTCTTCCCTGGCTGAACCCATGCATTGCTAGTGTTGTGTAATAATCAAAGGGTTTGAACCAATAGCATCTTCCTGAAACTGAATCATGATACTGTACACAGTTATTTCCAATTTTATGCAACACTGTGTAAATATACATGTCTGCACCAATCTTTCAGCATGGAACTGTAAATTATGTGCTCCAAAAATTAAGCAACCAAAAGCAGCACAGTATTATATACACACCACCATTTTTTTTCAACTACGGCACAGACCTTACACATTCTTTAAAAACAGGCCTACCTACAACTTGGTACCCACTGAAGAAACAATAGAAGGCAATTATGACTTTAAACAAGTTCATTATGTTTTCAACATAAAATATTTTCTTTTCAGTTTTAGAAGAATCATTCTTTTCAAATCTTATGCGAACATATATGATTAAAGTCCAATCGTAAAAACATTTAACAAGAAATATTTTCCACTTAGGTCTTTGAAGCCTATTTGGTAATAAGCCCGTGCATGTCTGCAGCCTGAAACTATTGTATATGTGTTAGAAAGGTTGCAGAATAGTGGCCAAAGTCCTATTGTGTAGATTTACACCCATACAAGTTGATGACATCATCAGCTGCAGGCTTTTATTGCTCATTAAAAGTATCCTATTCTACCATCCCTACCATCTACCTAGATTCCGAGGCTCCCTTGGGGAGCCTTTGGAAACCTCAGGATAGGGTTGTGGGTGCCCTTAATGCCTCCAAAATTGCTGCCAACAGACCTGCTAGGTCAAAATGGATCCCAAACGAGCCACAGAACTTGGCAGAATGGGTTCGGGTGGGATAGAAAAGTTCTAATGAACAATAAAAATCCACAGCTGATGACATCAGCTTGCAGAAGTGTACATTTACACAATAAGATTTTGGCCAGTATGTTGGAATAATGTTTTATGTGAATATGTGTATGTACAGCATGCTATTTTTTTGTTTTTAACATTTTGCTACAGAAAAGATGGTTAGAAATAGAAGATAACTTTAAAATAGAATCTCCATGCATGGATTTGCGTGATATAATTTCTTGGGGTTCTGACTCCAAAAAGAGGTCTTGTACAGCTGAAAATCTCTTCAACAGATAAATAGCAAATCTATTGCTTTCTTAATATACACAAACTCAACTATGTTTCTGTTTTATGTTCAAATAAAAATCCTTCATTTAAAGAAATCTACACATGATTATGCTAATTTGTTCCCTGGAGACACAAGAGCAATGTCTAATCCACAAAAGCAGAACAAGTATTAGGGGAAAAAAGGAAACTGAAATGAATTCTAAAATTTTCATTTGATAATTTACATACATAATCGAAATTGTTATATAACAACTACAAGCTTCACATCATGGACCTCTTTTCAAAGTATACTAACTTTCCATATTTTCTATAAAATCACGTTCAACACACTCTTCCAGTAGCCGCAGTGTCTTTGCACTACCACCCATGGGACTGTCCATTTTTAGGTACTTCAGGTTATTCGTGTTTAACGATCTGTTGCTTTCCATTTTAAATGCACAGCTTAATATCCTGAAAAATGGCATCAACTGTGTAATGTGTGATATGGAACGAAGGTCCAAAAGAGGAAAGGTGTAATTTTGTGCTGTACGCTCACTGATATTTTGTTCCTGTAAAAACATGCAAAATTCACAATGTTAATTATGCACTTGCTTGGTTCTATTTCGTATAAAATACAATCATGCTGACTGCTTTTCTATTTGAACACAGCAATTCTTTTACTCTGAGTTATGATGGTAAGACTTACACTGAATGGCAGGTTTTTCAGTGAACCCAACAAATCTCATCAGTGTAGTTTTAGTTCAGAATGCCTGCACAAATATAATGCTCCTCCTTCACTATTTTCTCTATTGCTGCTGTGATCAAAGTGTAACGAGGGCTATGCCACTGCTACAGCCAAATATTGGAAAAAAACTGAATGATACCGCAACGCAATTCTCCCACCATACACGCATGGAAACATTATTTTTAACTACACCACCTGCAATATTTAAACATTTCTGTTTTGTTGTGCAGCAGCTGGGGGGGGGAATGGGGTCCTCCAGATGATGTTGATCTACAATTCACATTAGTCCTAACAGCAGAGACAAGGGTGAGAAATGATGGGAAGTCTGTTCAAAATATTTATGGAAGGTCATCTATTCCCCATCCATATCTGTTGCACAATATTGCTTTGATAACTTTTTATTTCTTCTCTCACAGTGGCAAATATGAATATGGACAGGGCTTCCTCCTACAAAAATATTTTGTCTTTCACAGAATGTTTCACTTTATATTTTACTTTTTTTCTCCTTATCCTTTCCAACAATAGAGTGCACATTTCTTGCTTTTAAACAGAAGTGGGTGAATATCCCCCATGAGAATATTTGTATTGAACTCTCATTGTGTATACTGGAGATGCTGCAATAGAGGTGAAATTTATCCTATTGCTAAAACAAAAAACAACACCCCCCAAAAAGATGTTTGTACAACTGCCTTTTAAGTGCATCACCCTTCAGTGGGCTGCACTTACACTCATGGCCAAAAATATTGGCACCCTTGCAATTCTGTCAGAAAATGCAGCCCTTCTCTCAGATAATTGTTGAAGTTGCAAATGTGTGGTACTCACATGTTCATTTCTTTGGTTTCCGTTGGAACACCACAAAAATCAGAAAAAGAAACTCAAATCTGATAAAATTCTACAGAGAAATCCAAAAATGCACTGGCCAAAATTATTGGCACCCTTAACTTAATATTTGGTAGCCACTCCCCTTTGGAAAAAATAACTGAAATAATTCGCTTCCTGTAACCACAGATGAGTTTCTTACACCTCTCTACTGGAATTTTGGACCACACTTCTTTTGCAAACTGCTCCAGGGCCTTCAGATTTGAAGGATCCCTTCTCCCAACTGCTGTTTTGAGATCTCTCCACAGATGTTCTATATGGGATTCAGATCTGGACTCATTGCTGGCCATTTCCGAACTCTCCAGCACTTTGTTTATAACCATATCTGAGTGCTTTTTGAAGTGGGTTTTGGGTCATTGTCCTGCTGGAAGACCCATGACCTCTGGTAGAGAAACAGCTTTCTGACACTGGTCACTATGTTGCACCCCAAAATTATTTGGTAATCATCAGATTTCATGACAGCGTTCACACAATCAAGGCATCTAGTGCCAGAAGCAGCAAAGCAACCACAAAACATCTTTCAACCTCCCACCGTGTTTGACTATAGGGACTGTGTTCTTTTTGAATGCCTCATTTCTTTTTCTGTAAAAGTGACATGATGTCCTTGACCAAAAAGCTCTACAGTGGTGCCTCGCTTAACGATGATAATCCGTTCCAGGAAAATCGCCGTTAAGCGAAAACATTGTAAAGCGAAATTAAAAACCCCACTGAAATGCATTGAAAATTGTTCAATGCGTTCCAATGGGGTAAAAGCTCACTGTCCAGCGAAGATACTCCATACGGCGGCCATTTTCGCTGCCTGTATAGCAAGGAATCCATCCCTAAGCACAGCGGGGAGCCATTTTAAGCACCCGGCGGCCATTTTGAAAACCCGACGATCAGCTGTTTTTGATCGTCATAAAGCGAAAATCAGTTCCCAAAGCAGGGAACCGATCATCGCTAAGTGAAATTCCCCCATTTAGACGATTGCAATTGCCATTGCAAAAAGATCATTGTAAAGCGGATTCATCGTAATGCGGGGCAACCGTAAAGCGGGGCACGACTGTACTTTTGTCTCATCTATCCACAGTACGTTCTCCCAAAAGGATTGTGGTTTTGTCACATAGGTTTTGGCATACTCCAGTCTTGCTTTTTTATGCCTTTGTGTCAGCACTGGTGTCCTCCTGGATCTCCTACCATAGCATCCCTTTTAAATCAAATGGCAACGGATAGTGCGAGCTGACTCTGTTGTACCCTGTGTCTGCAAATCAGTTAATCTGGGTTCTGTATCCACCATTCGAACAACCCTTCATTGTAATTTTTCAGTAATTTTACTCTTCCATCCGTGTCCAGGGAGGTTTTACTACAGTGCCATGGGCTGTAAACCTCTTGATGATACTGCGCACAGTGGACACAGGAACATTAAGATCTCTGGCGATGGACTTGTAGCCATGAGATTGTCAATGTTTTCCCACAATTTGTTCTCTCAAATCCACAGACAATTCTTTACATTTCATTCTTTTCTCCATGCTCAGCATCACACACAATACAAAGGTTGAGTCAACTTTTCTCCATCTTAACTGTTTGCAAGTATGATTACTATATTGCCCACACCTCTTACTTGTGACAGGTGTGTCTCAATACAAATTAAAGGAGCATCACATGCTTGAAAAGCAATTATTTCTTACAACTTAGACAGGTGCTAATAATTTTGGCCAGTGCATTTTGCGTTTCTGTGTGGGACTGTATCAGATTTGACTTTTCCTCTGTTTTTTGGTGTTGTTCCAACACAAACTAAAGAAATGAACATGTGAGTACCAAAACATTTGCAACTGCAACGATTTTCTGATAGAAGGGTTGCATTTTCTGACAGAATTGCAAGGGTGCCAATTTTTTTTTGGCCATAACTGTATACCCTTTAAAATATCATACTCTGAAAAACAAATAAGTAGCACAATCAAGGTTTCTTCTAAGGTGCATGGCTGCGTGAGTGACTCTGGCCCCCTTCCATGCAGGATTCTTCTTTCTCCTCTGCACACCCAAAACAATCGTTTCCAGCCTCTTTGGTTCTGGTCGCGACACAACCCCACATGGGGTGGCAGAGTCATGCGTGTGAGGGGTGAAGCATTGCTCATACAAGGATACAACACATGTATTCCTTCTTAGATAGTTCACAAACAGGAGTGCTTCAGAGTTGAGCTGCTTGGTCCAGATCTACACAGCTTTTTGCCACATGTTCACCATTTCATGCATCTAAATCCCAGCGTCTGAAGCTAAGTGCATCTAATTAGTGCTTAGAAATCTTATTCATACTCTTGTAAGTTCCATCATGAAAAAATGGCAGGATATAAATGTAAAAAAAAGATAAAATAGAAATTGGGAATTCTGAGCGTTTCCATTTCAAAATACAACCAAATGATCCTTCTAATTGAACCATGCATTAGCTTAATTTTTAAGATAGTGTCACAGATTAACACTTACCACACACTTCAGCTTCAGTAAATCCATAATTCTGACACTATGTGGTTTGCATTCCTGGTGATTTTCCATTGCTTCTGTGGTCTTGTTGTAGGCCTCTGTGTCCATTTCTGGAACAAATGCCCACCTGTACCTGTAAACAAAAGAATCTGGGGATAAGACATCTAGCATACAATTCTTTGGAATTGTTGGTTACAGGTAGAAAAAGATAAGAGTCATGCCCAGTTGTTCTAAAAAGCTAGTTTTTGTTTGCTAACAGGAAGGTAAGTAGCTGAACTACTATGAAAGTCACAATACATTTCATTCAGTGTTCCACCTGATATTCACTTGGTGTAAAGAACAGACTTCTCTGTAGTGATCAGTATTTGAGTGGAATTTATCAAACTGCACTTTTGAAGATAAATACATTACAGTGTAGATCTTCTTTTGACAAATGTACAGTTGCTCGTTCTCCTGATAACCTATGGCAGTTATATGCACAATGCATGCTTGATCTTCATTTTCCAAACTCTCTGCTATGCCATATTTGCAGCATTAGCATTTCACTAACAAGCATAATGAAGATATCTAGTTTTGCACTGTTACAGCAGCCTCATTGATGCAGCAGTTTCCCCCTCTTACATTCTTAAATGGAAAAGGCCTCTCAAGTTTACAACCACTTGCTTTTTGTTCTTTGTGACACATTCACATAAGCCAAATTTTGTCAAAGAAAGACCTTTCTAGGTTGGAAATTGTTGAGAGTTGTCCATATGTATGTTACTGGTGGGGAAACGAATAACCAGATTTCTCATTATAGCCATGGTGCCTTCTGCTTTCTTTGATTGGGAGCATCCAGAGGGAGCAGGTATGGGAAGCTGTAAGTCATGCATGGGATCCTTTCATTCAACAAAACACCTTCAGCCTGTGAACCAGGGCATGCTCCAGGGGTTCAGTACATAAATTACAGTAGGCTGCTACCAGCTTCTCTAAAAATCAGTATTAGCAATTTCAGTAGTTTGACTCTAGAATGTCAGTGCTGCCACCACCCCCTCAGTCACCTTTCACACACTGGCTTGAAAGGATTTGAATAATTTATTTAAAAAATGGAAAACTAAGGGTGGAGGGTAAATTTAAAAACAGAAAAGTTCCAGATAGAAAAGCAAATATGTGTACAGGATTACAGGATACAAAACAGAGACACACTAGAAAACAATAAGAATTAATTTACCCTATCAATCTCACTTAAGCAGAGCAATGGAGTAAACCCAGAGAGATACTCCCTGTGCTCCCCAGCACAACTTCTTACATGAGGGTCTCCTCACAAGTAACACTGCCATCAGGAAAACAAAGCTTCCCTAAAGTTTCCTAAGACTCAGATTCTCAATTCCCTTTTAGAAAAATGAATGGCCTATTAACACCTGGGCTGTTCTTAATCCACATTGATCACTCATGTAACTGCTCTTAATCCACTTTGATCATTCTTACATGCCTCCTTCTCAGCTTCAAAATCTACATGCCCTTAGGTAAGGAAGCACACCAATTTTCTAACTCACAAACAGTTGGTGACTCCTTTGATATACAAATATAAAGTTTTAAATATTAGGTTATGCTTTGAAGATACAGGAACAGAAGATAGGGAAGAGGTGCGAATAAGCTATTGTCCGATGTGAAAGTTTATGTTCCCATGCCCTAACAGACATACAGAGAAGTCCAGAAGATGAATTTAAGTCCTCATGTTCTCCCCAGTCCTTAATTTCTTCACAGTCAAACATGTATATATGTAGTAGGAATCCATTCCCGGGTCTGTAAATTTTTCCCTTCGGATAACCAGGCAGAGCTCTTAAAATTTCTCTGTACAGTACTCATGCTGCATGCCACCATGCACTGCATTAGAGATTTCAATGGGATGCATATTCCTATGAGTTCTATGCATCCTAAAACATACAATTGTGATCGGCTGATCAAGAATTCTGGCCCAGTATGTCTCTCTTTTGCTTGCTTTTGATAAAGAAATGAGTGATGTGATATGACCTGAACAAAATCTCAATGAGATGCTGTTAAACAGGAAATGGCTTGAATTTTTAAAAGGGACACACAAAATTCACAGAACTCTGAAAAATAAGAGGAAATTTTATTGTATATCAATAAAAGTGTATTGCATTGGAGGAAGAAACCTACGCTCCTTGAATATGTTTGTGGCATCTCCAGGTATATAAAGGCAGACATCTTGCCAGAGGTAGCACCACAGAACTTGGTGTTGCAGAACAAGGTGTATGTTGAGAAATGCAGATGTTGACCCTACAGCAGAACTTCCAGGATGACCCTTGCTGCAACTCACTTTTCAGATTCCTCCCTCCCCTAAACTTAGTACATCATAACCTTCCCTAAATCATCTCCTCCTGTTTTATTTTTCCTGTGATACTGTTTACCAGTTACTGCCAGCTCTACTTTACATACTACTTTACATACATATAGAGTAGTTTTTAACTCAAGGTTTTTGTCTGCTTGCAGAAGTATGCATTTTTATGAGAAGGACAGTAGTGGGTTAGGAAGCTGCCATCAGAATTGTTCAAGGCAGAGGAACAGCAACTATGGCATTTAGAGGGGAGGGTAAAAGGGTATATTGGTTGCCCCTAAAGCTGTCCACAAATTTAAATAGCTTAGATAGCCTTTGTGTCAGGTCCCCTGGGCTGAAAGTGCTGTGGCTCAATGCCAAGTCAGCAAATAGGAAAACAACTGCCATCCAGAACTTGATCCTGCATGATCAATATGCCAGGCACCAATCTAGATCTATAACAGCTTCCTCAGATTTAGATGGAAAGAAAAAGAGTTGAGTCTCATCCACACAGTTGTGACACCGAACTCCGGAAACCTCTCCCAGCCAATCTCTAACATTCCATCTTTGGGTGAAGAACTGGAATGTGTTGCGGCTTCTTAACTCCAGAGGTTCCTGGATGTAACAGATTATCTACGTCCATATCAACCTGACTTTAGGCCTGGTTATGGAGCATCAGGAGAGGCCTTTCCCTTAGTCCCACCATCCTCACAGGCGTGTTTGGTGGGGATACGGGAGAGGGCCTTTTGTGTCACTGCTCCCAGACTCTAGAACTCTGTCCCACGGTAGGCCAGGCTGTGTGAGAAGGATTTTAAAAAATTAGATTGTTGTTCCTTATTGCTTTTAAATTTGTTTTCAGTATTGATTTTATTTACTGTTTTTAATATATTTGTTTAATTCTGTGTTAATATTGTAATAATTTATTGTTTTTAGCTTTTAGAGTATAAGGGCTGCTTTATAACTTACAGTTGAAAAGTAAACCCTCTGTTCAAAAATGCTTGACAAAATGATGGTAGACTACAAAATAAGCCAGCATGTGAACCAGTATGGAAGACACAATAAAATATCATAATAACAAACATAAGAACTGAGACACAGCCAAACAAACAGATCCATGCAGCACATACATCAAAAGCATGCTGAGAAAAGAAGTGTCCAGGTGGTAACAGTATATATCTATAGAAAAGAGATGTAGAAAAGATTCTCGTCAACGACTTTTACACATTCTCCTATCCCATATCAGGCAAAAAGAAAAGAAAAAGACAAAAAAGACAAAAACATGGCTGCATCTTAAAGACTAATTACTATATTTTAATGTGAGCTTTTGTGGACAAGTCTACTTCCTCAGACTTCCTTTTACAAATTATCCCATCCCAGAATTTTTCACTACAGTATTTGTGTATCACAAGAATACAGGATAATATACGTACATTTGAAACAGCTGCATTTTGTCAGGCGGAAAAGAAAGTGCAGTATCCAAGAATTTACAGGCTGATAAGTATAAGGCTAGTTCATTTGGCTGTACGTCACCAAGTAATGGACCATTGCCATCTGATGATGTTTTCTGTTTATTTGTTTTGCTGTTGTTCCTGTGCGATTCATAAAAACAGAAAAACAAAGATTAAAAAGCAGACTTAGTGAATTGTATTTTTGCTCCTGGATGATTAAAAAAAAGGAACTGTGGAGAAATGGAATCTTAATATTAGTTGGATTAATTAAACATACTATCGTGACTTTAAAGCAAATGGTCAGAACAAGTCTGCGAAGCTGCTGTTGTAGGAAGTACAATTTTTCCAGCAGCTTGATCTTCAAAGGATGGATTTTCAAAGAATATCTTGCTTGTCAAAGGGCTTGAGATTCCTGCCCATATAGTCTCTGTATCCTCAGGGCATATCTAAGAGATCTACCTTTTGTTACAGCCATACTCAACTCCCTACTGTGTTCAAAGGGAGCTTACAAGCCATTAACTATTTAGAGGTTAGAGTTGAGTGTTGTCTCAAGTCTTTGTACTGGAAATTCAGAAGGATGAGTTCAGTTCAGGCAGTAGTAAACTGAATGCTTGAAGCTCAGCATAAGGCAACTCTTTCCCATCCCTTCAGTGACCACAGCAGTGGTGGCTGATAAGCTAAAAGGAGAGAGGCAATGTTCCATCCAGGCTTGAAGGAGGATGTTTGAGCAAGTAGGGCTTCATTACATGCATTTTCAGTAAATTGTAGCTTGCTTCTAAGAGCTACAGTCAACATTTATTGCTGATGAAACAGACAAGGTAGGTAGATCTCCCCACACCTGGAAACTGTGACCCCTAACAACAGTATTCACTTCTGGTGCTTTTCTCTCAGTCCCACTACCCTCACAGGTATGTTTGGTGGGGACACAGGAGAAGGGCTTCTCTGTTGCTACTCCCATACTCTGGAACTCCGTCCTATGGGAGGCCAGGCTGGCCCTCTCTTTGTTGTCCTTCCACAAACAGGCAAAGACCTTTCTCTTCAGGATGGCTTATCCTAGTGACTGGTTGCCTAAGAAGAGGTTCTTAAAACGGGGCTGTGTTTCTGTTGTTTTAAATGTGTTTGTAGCACTGCTTTAATCTATTAGGTTTTAACAATATATTTGTTTAATTTGTTCTTAAAATTGAAATAATTTATTGTTCTTAGCCTTCAATATTGTTTATTTTTTAATACTGTAAGCCACCTTAGATCCTTTTCAGGAGAAAGGCAGGGTATAAATATTTTATATACATGAGCAAATAAATATTCTCAAGCATATCCTTAAATTTTTTCTATCTTCCTTGTTCACAGTATTCAAATTCCTGATGATGAAAATTTTGACCAGTCCCTTGTGCCAAATATTCCAACAGATCCAACAGCAGTGAACACATTACTATTGTATGGCATATGTTTTCCAATATTTTTCAAAATTCCTGGAGCTCCTTATGATACCACATCCAATTAAGATGTCCTCTTTTTTTTGAAACCTTTTGCTTCCTTATTCCTCCATGCAAACTGCGCAATACTGGACTGGCTTGTGCCAAAAAGTTTACCACTTGATTACTGCAATATCAAAATGACATCTGACAGGCATGAATGACTTATGGTTCACCTGCAAAAGCAGGTTGACTTGGAAAATAAAATCTCATTGCTGACAACTATCACACCCATCATATCAAAGAATTTTGTTGAGGTTTTTTACTAAGTCTATTCTGTTGTTCAACCTGTTCATCTGTTTCTACTTTTATGTTTAATATGACATTGTGTTAGTTTCCTTACTTTGCTGGTTCCTCTTCTTCATCTAGCTCTTCCTCGAGTTGTATAAATGTTTGAATCTGGATGGTGGAAATAGTGGAATCAAATACAAAGCAAACCGTAGGGTATACAGTACAATAATAGTGCTTTACGTTGCATTGTGAATATGGGGACTGTGCATCTTTACATATCTGAGGAAAAATTCACAAGGCTTAGCTGTTAATGATACTGAAGTTGCGTCTCAGTTAAATCAGGAATTTCCAAATGTTTTGGTCTCATGGGTACATTGTGGAGGTTGAAAAAGTGTAGGTGCCTTTACAAAATGAAGCATGGCAAGTCACCAGAATTCACTGGTCAGAATCCAACTAGAGTTTGTTTAACATACAGTACTGTAGCTAATTGGTGAAACACTGGGGTGCATCTTGGTTGCATTCCTGCTCATGAACTCAACTGCACAACCAAGATGCACTCCAACACCTTGTCAATTAGCTATGTCAAGTTATGCAAATCTTACATGTAACTGGTAAGATTCTGACCACTTTTATTTATTTTTAACTTTTAAATATCAAAATTGTTGTACCAAAGAGAGGAACTGTAACACACCACTCTTCACAGAGCTGGAAACTCGGGAAATGAAACTTCTAAGACTAAAAGACAAAGAACTAGAACAAGTTCAGGAGTAAAAGGCAGAAATGGAATCAGAGCTACAAATACAATGACACAATTCTGGCAGACCGCCTTCTCCCACCACTTCTGCCAGAATCACTCGTTCCAGCCAGGCTGTGCGGCTGAGGGGCCTAATGCTGAGGGAGGTCTGGAAGGAAAGAACAAGGAACCAGGCCTTCTTGGCAGTGGCCCTTCCCCTTTGGAACAACTTGCCAGTGGAGATCTGCCTGGCTCCCTCTCTGGGTGTTTTCAGGAATAAACTTAAAACCTTGCTATTTGGGCAGGATTTCTCTCCTGCCGTATCTTAATTACTTATACTTTCGCTACCTTGGATTTATAATATATGTTTACTGTTTTTGTTGTTTTTTAATTTGTAAACCTCTCAGAGTAGACCTTTGGTCTAGATGGGCGGGGAGATAGAAATCAATCAAACAAACAAACAAACAAACAAACTGCTGAAACAAACCAGCAATTTCACAGATAGCATAACCTCAAAAGCCACTGTCTTTCTACAGTGACAGAAAATGACGAATATGCTCTGGGACTGAGACATTTTCTATTGACTATATGATGTATAAGTCATTGTGAATCAGCCCAGAGTATTCCCCACAATCTGTTCTTTCTTCCATCGCCACTGGGACTTCTACTTTTTCGGAACCAAATGCATTCACATCAATTCAAGTAGTGTGATTGCTTAAGCTGATGTGCAGGGGCTTGTAGCCGTTCTATTTTAAACCATTCCACCTGGCTAGAAGCAGGGTGAGGGAGGCAAGGCAGTGGGAAAACTGGCTAACATCTGAATCCTCTCTTTCCCAAACCTAATGCCTGGGTCCAGTTGTTTTCCTCTTCCTTTCCTCTTCCATTCTGTTTCTTTCTTTGTCTTTTAAAGGCTTGCTGCCCTTGTGCTAGGTAACCAAAAGAAAAAGAGCAAAGAGTTGACAGAAAGGAAGAAGTTTTTGATCAGCCTTGTTTATAGCCTAAGGCAGCTCTCTTGTAACCCATTCTCCTGCAAATACGGATGGCCAGAGCAGAGCTACCTTAACAAGCTGCAAATAAGGATGACTGCCAATTCCCTCCTTTCTCTCTGCTCACTTTTGCATGGCTGGCTGAAGTGAATTAACCAGGGAAAACCCAACTTCCTGGGGGTATCAAATTCATTCACATTTTTCCTGCTGTGTAGTCACACCCATAGTCAGTAGTAGTCCCCAATGTGGCTGTTGGGGTTACTGGGTTATTATCCTTTTCCCACTTCTGAAGTGGGATCTGGAATTGATTTTCCTGTGCTTTATTTTTCTGCAAAAAGGAGTAGTGAGGCTTCATTTCAAAGGCCTACAAACAAACAGACAGACAAATACATAATAAAATTAAAAGTCTATATTTTATAATGTTCATCCCTTGTCTGGAAAAGTACTGTATTTTTCCATGTATAAGATGCTCTCATGTATAAGACACCCCCCTTTTCTAACCCAAAATTTATTTCTTCTCAAGAAAGTAGAGGGGGAAGACAGGGATCAAAGCACCTTGATTCCTGCTTCCCCCCTCCACTTTCTTGCAAGAAAAATGCTTTCCCCTCCACTTTCCTTGCAAGAATGTGGAGGGGGAAAGCAGGAATAAAAGCACTTTGATGATTCCTGCTTTTCCCCTCCACTTTCTTGTGAGGAAAGTGCTTTCCCTTTCTCCTTTCTTCACAAAAAGTGGAGGGGGAAAGCAGGAATCATCAAAGCGCTTTGATTCCTGCTTTCCTCCTCCACCTTTTGCCAACAAAGTGGAGGGAGAAAGTACTTTCCTTGCAAGAAAATGGAGAAGGAAAGCAGGAATCAAAGGGCTTTGACGATTTGTGCTTTTCCCCTCCACTTTCTTGCACTTTTTTGAGAGGAAAGTGCTTTCCCCCTCCATTTTCTTGCAAAGAAAGTGGAGGGGGAAAGCTGAGATCAAAGCGCTTTGATCCCAACCCCTTCTTACTTCCATGTATAAGATGACTCTCAATTTTTAATCTAAATATTTTAGACAAAAGTATTGTCTTATACATGGAAAAACACAGTACATCATACAGGTTAAAGCAGGGGTCCCCAACTCCCAGTCCGCGACCTGGCAGCAGTCCATGGCCTAGGCAGGACTGGGCCACGGACACAGCTCTCCTGCCCCCCAGCACGCCCCTGCGAGTGTGCCACGCGATGCACGCAAGCACCCCCAAGTGCCGCAGTGTGCTTACATGCAAGCGAGGTGCCCCTGTGAGTGCCGCTATACGCTTGTGTGCAAGCGCACCAGACCCGCATGAGAGTGCCATGCCCCCCCAACCGGTCCGTGGTTGGGAAAAGGTTAGGGATCACTGGGTTAAAGGAAAGAGAAAATGTTTTTCTAGAAAATGAATGTGGACAGACTAGCTGAGGATGTTGTTAGAGCTCATTACTGGAAATAAGGAACTTGCTTATGTTTGTGGTTTTCTATTTCTAACTAACACATTTCCTGTTGTGTCCAAATATGCTTAGTTATACATGCTGCAATGATTGTGCGTCCTCAGTTATATTTTCTAGAGAATTTACAGGGTTAAAGCTGCCTCTCCTACCCTATGTAAAAGGTGTGAAGACTTTGCTTCTCTCTCAGAAGTTTGCAACTGCTTCACTTCTCTACCCGGGAGTTCTAATAAAAATGGTTACTGAACTCTCAGGCCTACAACTGAACTAGTTTTTCTTCCACAGTCACACTTACTTCTGCAGCATGTCCAGCCTCCAAATAATTATTTTAAAATATTTTGTAAAAATTAATCTGGCTGATTGGTAAGTGCTGAGGTATTGGCACAAACAGGCACCACTTGAAGATTCCAGAGGAGAAATGGGGATATTTGTTTTTGCAAACAAATACACATATCCCCAACCCAGGTGCACCTAATGCGGGTCCAGCCCTCAGAATAATCCGCCATCCACTCCTGTGCTGCCACAATGCCAGCTTCATGCTCTTCTCAGTAATCATGGCAGTAGCTCCACTGTCTCCCTGCTCTTCTGGCCATTCAGCAGCTGTGCAGGGAGACTTGTCCTCCAGCAACCTGTCTGGAGTGGCCAGCCGAGCCAGGAGATGGTAGAACTACTTCCACGATTGGCAAGAAGAGTAAGAAGCTGGCAGCGCAAGTGGACAGGCTGGTTCAAGGGCCGGACCTGCATCAGGTGGACCTGGGATGGGGATATGCGTATTTGTGTATGAGGGATATTCATATTCCCATCTCTATTCCAGTTGAATAGTAGGCATCAGTTCAAAAGAAGGGTATTTTCCATGAAGATTATTCTCTTTGTTAATAATTACTTATTACTTACCAGTTCTGTCACCATAATTGGCCATAATGATGTTAAATGTTGAGGTGAAATTCTTAGCAACAGAACTCTGAAAAACAGAAACATCTGGGCTGCTACTATGGAAGTCTGTCCAACACGCAGGTTTTCTGTCAGTCGTTCTAGAATAAGATTTCAACAACAACAAAGCCAAGATGCATTTACTAACTTAGGGTAGAGATGTGAATTAACATAATTTTGCCATATTATCACACAAATTAAAAAGCTGGTGGAACTAGGGTGGAGAGGAACACAATAGAAACCATGGATTCCACAAAGAAGGGCCCCAGTAATTAACTCTGAAATACTGATTGCTATCTGGAATGAGTGCTTTGCAGCATTTCTTTTTCTGAAATCAAACTGTCAGTTAACAGAGACAGTAGACATGCAGAAAGATGTAAGCGACACTGCACTTAGGGCCTCTTTCATGGTTGATTCTGGGTAATGAGCCAGAAATCTATACCTGTGAGGGCAGACCAAGGCTTAATATGCATACAGTGGTGCCTCGAATTACGAACGCCCCTACTTACGATCATTTCAACTTACAAACAGCTCCGATCACAAAATTTTGCTGTGATTTTGCGACCGGAGCTTCCACTTATGAACAGAAAAAGGCAGGGAAAAAAGGCGGGAAAATAAAATTTCTAACTGTAGCTGGCGATGAAGCTGCTTCTTTGTAGCTCTTTCGCCTAGCAATTAGAGAGCGTGCGTCGTTGTTGGAGGCTTGAGAACTGCTTCCTTCTGCTTCGGAGTGTGTGTGTGTTTTCAGTAGGTAATGAGCTGTTTTCTGCTTTTTAAAAACTTTTCTGGGTGTTTTTGCAGCGTGGCTTTGAGCTGGGGTGGGGGTTCTGTTTCTGTGCTCTGACGGATCTTGCAGTGTGGATTTAAAATGTGAAAAGTAGACTGTAACATTAAATTAAAATTAAATGTGAAAATTAGACTGTAATTTTAAAATGTAAAATTTATTTATTTATTTTTGCATTCTGTGGCTCCTAGGATTGTGTACTGTGACCTCTCTTTGCTGGTCTGTGCTGCCTGGTTTGGTGTAAAATGGAGTTTAGACTCCAAAGTCTTTTTGTTTTAAAATCGGAAAATTTCCTGCAAGGGTCTGTGCTGCCTGGCGTTTAGACTCAATTCTCTCCCCACCCCCATCTTCTCTCTCTGCTCTCTTTTTGTGCTGAGGGGGTCTGTTTGCTGGAATAATGGTTGCTGGTTTTGATTTAAAATGTGTTTTGTTTAAAAGGTGTTTGGTTTGGTTTAAAATGTGTTGGTGTAAAATGTGTGGGTTTAGCATGTGTTGGTTTAAAATGTATTTTAGACTCCAAACTCTCTTCCCCCCATTGTCTTCTCTCTCTCTGTCTTCTCTCTTTTTATGCTTAACAGGGGTCTGTGTGCCCTTCTGATGACCTCCTTTCTTTCCTCTTTTCCCCGTTGTTCCTTCCTTCCCTCCCTCCCTCCCTCCTTTCCTGCCCTTTTTTAAACCTAAGTCATCTTAGGTTAAAAGAAGAAAAATTCTCCCCCTAGTGGTAGAGGATGGATTAACCGGCTTTGCATTAATTCCTATGGGAACAAATGCTTTGACTTACAACTGGTGCCTCTACATACAACCAAAAAACAGCCGGAATGGATTAATCAGGTTTCAATGCATTTCAATGGGAAATGCTGATTCGACTTACGAACATTTTGACTTATGGCCATTTTCTGGGACGGATTATGGTCATAAATCGAGGCACCACTGTATATTGTATATATATAGTATATTTAGTCTATGTTGTTGGATCTTTCGGATACTTGAGGAATACATAATTAGGTAAGTGGAAATGTCTTTGATTTTGCTAGTTACATTCCCCACCTCTCTGAGCAAGGAGAAGAATTGTATAATGGAAGGAAGCTAAAGAGAACTCCACTATGACATTGTTCTGGCTGAGAGCCTCTATACTAGGAGGGCAAAACAATTCTACAGAGATTCATCCTTATCCCTTTTATTGGCATAATAAAGTAAAATAGAATAAAATAGTAAGTGAAGAACCAATAAACAAATAAAATCCAGCTAATCAAGATTTATGGTAGAGGATACATAGATAAGTGTAGGACCAATGATCAAGTAAGACCCAGTTAATTAGACGCAACTAGGATCCTTCTCCGGATGATAAATTTCAGGAAAATCGTCACTTTCTCTTACACATCAGCTTTAACGCCTGAGAGAATATACCTTATTTTCTCCAAATCTGCCCAGCCCTCCCTCTTCTTAAGGAACCTCTCCAAGAAACCAGAGCAAAGGTCTTATAGAAAGGGCAATATAGAATCAGGTCTTGGAGAGATTCCTCCCCACCTAGTGGACAAGTGCAGTTTCCCTCCTTAGTAGGAATTCCTCTAAATCTTCCATGTAACACCTTGGAGGGCATAACATTACTTCTGGATAATGGAAAGGCTCTCCGGGCATTAGGACTTTTTAGGAAATAAAAGTAAGCTGCCAAATGTCCACACGTGACTGGAAGCCATGTGCATAAAGGTGAGCAGATCTTATTGGCAGCGCTCAACAAGTTTTGGTGTTCAATATCTGTGTTTAATAAAGTAGTACGCATCCTACAATTTAAATGAGCCAAAAATAGAGGGCTCTGCTTCTTGCAGAAGATGATAAAGGAGGCTATCATGATTGGATGTATAAAAAATACTGAGCCAATACTTGAAGAAACTTAGCTAGGCCACTTTCTCCACCCTGAATAGCCCTGCCTCTAAACAAAGAACTGCATATGCTAGACAACCTGGAAATTCAAGAATTTTATGTAGAAAAGAACCTCTATCTGTTCCGAGGAATGGTCCCATGCATTCAGCCAGATCGAGACCTCATATATGACTCGGGGGATAATTTTAGCTCTATAAACTTCAAGGGCTACTGGGACATAAGAGTTACTTCTGCTGCAAAAAAAGTATGATGGCTTGAGCTGTGATCTTAGCATTGTTCCTGATTGCCCTACACTGCATAGTCTGAGAAAGATAGAACTCCTATACAGTGGTGCCCTTTTTGACGATTACCCCGCTTGATGCTGAAATCGCTTCACGACAATGTTTTTGCGATCGCTATTGCGATCGCAAAACGATGTTTCAAAGGGCAAATTTTGTTTTACGACGATCGGTTCCCTGCTTCGGGAACCGATTCTTCGCATGATGACGATCTAAAAACAGCTGATTGTCAGGATTCAAAATGGCCACCCGCTGTGCAAAATGGCTCCCCGCTGTTTTCAGGACTGATTTTTCGCTTTACAGGCACCGGAAAATGGCCACCCTATGGAGGTTCTTCGCTGGACAATGAGGTATTTTGCCCACTGGAACGCATTAACTGGTTTTAATGCGTTTCAATGGGTTTTCCCCCCGCTTGATGACGATTATGCTCTACAATGATTTCGCTGGAACAGATTACCATCAAGTGGGGCACCACAGTATACTTGAATTGTTTCATTTGGTTGCTTTTATTTCCTTTGATGTTCCAATTGAAATAGTTTCCTTGCTTTGCCAAAGAGCAGGATCTTAGACTTAAGGTAGTGAAGTTGGAGATTAGTTTTTTCTAGACAATCCACACATCTCATCAGTAAAATGTTTCAAACCAATACGAGTCTTGGACAGAAAAACTGCATCATCTGCATAAAGCAGAAAAGGGACAAAAAAAAAGGCATTTATCTCTGTGAAAAAGGGGGGGTAGATCATTTAAAAAAAGATTGAACAGAACAGGTGATAAAATACATCCTTGTTTAACCTTCTTAATTAGTTTTTACAGGTTCTGACAATTCCCCTCTTGTGGGTCACCCTAACCTGGCAGCTTGTATTCACAAAGAGATTCCTGATTAGGAGGAGGAGTCTTCTACCTATACAAATGCAAGAGTGTGTTCCAGAGGATAATCCTATCCACTGAATCAAAAATGCTGTCTTCAAGTCCAAGAAGGCCACAAACAGTTTTCAATTCACTCTATTAACTTGTTTCTCCACAAAGTACTACAATGTAAGGACCAATGATTTGATGTAGATTTCCGATATGAACCCATTCTACAGCGGAATCTCTCCAAGAAACTGTTCCAAATCTACAGAGATTCAGAAAAGCTATTAAAAATCAGCATGCCTGTGAACAATTCTGGATTTCAATCTTCTACCATTTCATACTATATAGGCTATTGTTCATAGGCATCTCCAAATTCCTTAAAATTTTGTATCAAATTTTTAAAATACTAAAGATGATGTCACACCCTTCACTGACCATTTGGGAACACTGCAAAGGTAACACTTACCTTGTATTAAAGGCAGGTAAAGATGATATTGATCAATTTCTCCACTAAAAATGGCAAATGCTTGACGCTTCAGTAACATTGCTTTTTGTTCAAAACTTGGGAAAAGTTTTAAGGAACTGCTCGGCATATCTATAATCAAAGTCACATATAGCATTCATATTTAATCATCATCATCATCATCATCACCACCATCTTAGAACTGCAGTGGGGAAAGGACCCTAGGGATAATCCAATCCAGCCACTGTCAAGGAGGCACAGTGGGGAACTGAACTCCCAACTTCTGGCTGCGCAGTCAGATATTTATGCCACTAATCTTTTAGGAAAAACACAGTAAGTTTCTCAACAGAGTACTTTGATGGAGAACTTTGAAAGTATTATGTATCAGAAGCCTAGGAACAAAAAAATAAGCAAAATTTGCTTTCTAGGGTTCTCCTTGTCGAAATTTAACTTAGTATTAAAGTAATACAAAAATCATGAGAATATACTTACTCATCAAATCTTTAAACATAGTTTTCTCATGTGTAAGAAGATGATCAATAATGGCTCGCCAACTGAAGAAATATGATAACCAAGTAAAGATAAATGAATTTAAATCTAAACCATCCATCATCTTCCATGAAGTGAGCATACTAACATTCTCTTAAAGTCTCAATATAACAGACAGAGAAATTTTGCAAATTCTTTGTGTAGTTTGACTGTGAGGAACACATACGTGACAAAACAGACACATTTGTCTTTGCCATATGTGATAAGCCACAGATAAAATTCACACTATTTTTTTTTCACAAAATAGAACTGTCTTCTGTTTAGGAAAGGATACTGTATGTTAAAAACAGTACTGAGACACAGTCCTTTAATATTTCATAACAAGAGTTGTATTTCCTTAAAATTATGTCTGCAAAGAAAAGGAGATACTGGCGATTGAAGCCTCTCTCCATAATGAAGCTCAATGTTTTCTATGATTATTGCCAATTACTAATTTTTAGTTAGAATTACACATTCATCACAATCTACAATAGTGGAAAATGCTAGTTTTTTTCATCTCAAAAATATCCACTAGATTGCTAGGGCCACATGTCTTACTGAATACATGAAGTGTCCATCTGAAAAAAAGCTGGATCCATATATAGTTCCAGAACCTCTTTCTTCCATGCTCGTTTGGTATAGGCATAGCCACTTAGGGAACTGAGCAACTGCGTACTAGCACGGAAGCTTGGAAGGTTGTAGGTACTGTAAACAAACACAGAAATTTAGAGATCACATACTTCTCTAAAATATTTCAGAAATTTCATGTACCAACATTCTACAGATGTTATCTGCTGCTATGCAGGAGAACATCTGTAGGACAGATACAATGTGCCATCTTTCTTACACTGAGAATGTGAGCCACTTGTATTAGCAAGGAGAGCTGCTCTTATATAACATGTTTATGCTTCTTTTTTTACATTTTCAGTCTTTAAGCCTCTGAAAACAGAACTGCTGCATTGCTAACTTGGAGCTAATTCATGCTGAGTCTGATCGTAACGCTATTAGTGCCATGGATGGTATCTAAAGAGAGAATGCTAAAAGAAAGCTATATCACTTGGGTGAAAGAGTTATTTGAGTAATAAAGAATTATAAAATTAGCATTTGATGTGTGTAGGATTTTTGTAGAGCCCTAAGCAACTACGTATTGCCATAGGCCAAGAGTCAATATCAATCCTGCATTTTCTAACCAGCCTCCACATATCATAAATGTACAATGTTAAATTGTTCTACTTGTTTTCCTAATGTTCACCTTTATTTATTTATTTTATTCATTCATTCATTCATTCATTCATTCATTCATTCATTCATTCATTCATTCATTCTGTAACCCGCTCCTATTAGTGTCAATGCACTACTCTGGGTCGGTTACAACACATGTAATAGAAAACAAAAATAAAAGCAAAAACATTAAAAGCAGCGCTATACTGGATCCGTTAATGGATAAGGAAAGTCATGCTTTATATAAGGTATAAAACTTATATATAGATATGTGGAAAAACACACACTGAAGCTTCAGTAATAATAAATACTAAGGAGTTGTTTCAAGACAAAACTGATAATCTTATCTTTTTGATAAGATTAAAATCTTAATCTCGCTATTTACTTAAGTGCTCTCTTTTTACCTTTGAGTAAGTATATAAGAACTCTTTAAATAGTTGTTAATGAATATTATTTGTATATTTTAATAAAAATGAAAAGATCAGAAGATTTTTCTCTTATGAATGTTTATTCATATTACATACCCCAAATCATATCCAACCTTAAAACAAATTCAGTTGTATCTTTGCCTGAAGCATATAAATCACCTGTAGATAAATTAACTAGTAATCACTAGCTTCCTAATACTGAGACTACAGTATGCTAACGTTCTACTATGTCCAGCATTCATAAGAATGCATGTACTCTGTAAAAGTTCCATGTATATGACTTAAGTAAAAAAATATTTACCTGTGATTGCGTAGATAAGGAAACACATAGTATAGCAAACGTGAAATTAAAGGCACTGCTTTCTCTTTTTCATCACTTCGATAAACCATGTCCAGGAGACAGGCAAGAACCTATAGGGAGAAAAAAAAATTGCATAAACGAGGGGCAGGTCTTCTGACATCAGAATACTCTTGTCCAAAATAATCCCAACTCTTTTCATTTAGTTCTATTACTGCACTGACTACTACGATGGCTGCAATGTCATTATGCACGTGAATGAATACATACACACAGCCAGATATGGAAGATTGGAAAGTACTTCAAAAGCTGCCAGAGAAGGCCCAGGGAGCATGTGAAGGTAGCACATCTGTGAGGAACAGTAGACTGTTGCTTTCTCTCAAAGAGAAGAAATTAGCACTTACCTCTGCAAGGAGAGAGAGGGCCTGAACACTGTATGCTGATGGAGCAGAAGCAGAAACCATTGAAGAAGGTATTGCTGAAGTATCTAGAGAAGCAACATTTTTAATTTAGCACTATGCTGGCATTTTTACTAAAACATAAATTGTTTTTTAAAAAAGGGAGTTTGCATTTGCACATTATAGACCACAGAATAAACTGGGCAGAACAACAAACTGTTTTGTTGCCTCAAACATTTAGGCTGAAATGTTTTTTAAAACTTTTTTAAAAATTAGGTCAAATCATGCCTGCTATGGAGAAGAACAGCTGACAGAAGAGAAGCACTGGAGAGTAAGAGATGTTTAAATGTTTCCTCACTAAGCCCGTGGAAATATGCATTTGCACCTCCATATAGAAAGGAGGGAGAGGAGACTCGTGGAGCCTCCATTAAATTCAGAAAAAAGAGTTATGAGCCCTCTCTCTCTCCATTAAACTACTTTCCCCCTTCAATTAAAGGTTTTGGCACACTGTTTCACACAATAACAGGTAACAGGCACAGCAAGGCTCTGAGGAAGAATTCCTTGCAACTCAAACACTTGCTTTCTGCACTTCGATAACAGAATCTACCGTAATCCACTGTAAAGTGGTCTCTAATGAGGACTAATGGATCTATAAAGTCTTCGATATAGTTGGAGCAAAGAAAGAGCTGCGGCCGGGGAGGGGGCAGGGGGAAGAGTTAAGTGTCTCCTGCCTGTTAGCTGCTCACAATTCTGTGGGTTGGTTGTTAAGTGTATCATAGTATAGGTAAAGATGTCTTACATTTGCTTTAAATGATTTGTGCTCCAAAACAGACAGTGTGTCAAGATGTGGAATTCTGAATGTATGGTGCTAAAATAATTAAGGGGGAGGGAGTGAAGAAAAAACAGCTTGAAAATATATACCATATTTTAAAAATGAGGTTTGCGCAGCAGTTTACAAAAATGTCACTACAAAATTATCATCCAGCTCTCCAGCCTGGAAAGAAGGCCACTTGCCTTGCAAAAGAATCATCTTGCCTTGCAAAAGAAACTCTTGCATGCCTGACATTTGAATGTGTTTACAAGAGATAAAAAGCACAAAGGAAAGAATTGAAAGGGTGCTGAAATGATAGGTTTGTATTTTTTAACATGTGTTAACATGGCAAGCAGGTGGTGTTTGCAGATATAGTAACTTGCTCTACCTTATTTTACGAGATCCAGTAATTTTGTTCCAGTGTAATATGCTGCCTCAACAATTGTTAATCAAAATAATCATGATCATCATCATGATGGCAGCTTGCCAGATTCTGCTTTACAGGACTTGTATCTTATAAGAGTTGTAAAAGCAATAGAAATGTTCATTAAAAATTTTCTGACTGTGTCTGTAGCTTACAATACCAGAAAAACACAGTTATTTACAGTTGAAGGGAAGTGTAAATATCTGAGAGAAATATAAATATAGGGAGGCAAGAGAGAAATAGATGTAGCACAATATAAAATGCCACATACACACACACCAGATACCACCAACACTGTACTAGGGAGTATCAAGCATCATGTAGCATCAACTGCAGTAGCAAACAAGGACAACATGTATTTTCCTCCACAGATTGAAACTGGTTTGGCTGGGTGAGCTTTTAGAATAATGTTCAGTATGTTCTAACATGCTTCAAGTCTAAAGAAGTCATTTTCTTTAATATATACAGTACTTAAAAGAACTTTGATATTTTAAGAGTAGCATTCTTTTTTTTTTCATTGTGCTTTTCTGGCTATAAGCTTTTGCATTTTTAGAATGCATTCTTTATCACAATTTTATTGTATTTTGGATTAAATTCGGACTTAGGTACTTGCATGAAACTTATGTTTAGTTTTCATATATTTTAAGCATTTGGTCTACATTTTTTCCATAGCTGTAAGACTTTTAAATATTTTCAACAATTTTGAAGTATTTTTTATATACGGCTTTTGATTTTTTCCTCAAGGTCTATGAAATTCTATAGGGCTTTTAAGAGGATGTGCAGGTTCATGAGGATAATCTGATAGGTGATGGGAGGGCACACTATGAACATCAAAGCCCCATTATATCATCAGGAACTGTCTGCTCCAACTTCTTTCATCCTTTTAAAGACTATAAATGTATACCATAGTCAGATGAAGCAGGACACAACAACATACAGTATACTGTCACAGAAACCTTTCCTTTCCCTTCTTCGGTTAATAAAACATTAAGCCTAAGGAAGAGCTGTTGGTTGCTGAATAGCTCACATACATACTGTACTGCACTGTGATAACTACCTGCTGAAATAACATTTTGTTTCTCTTACCATACAAATCATCAGCAGCATTGGATTCTTCTAAAGAGATCTGAGGCTGTGCTTTCACCTCGAGATTTCTGCTCAGCCAGCTGGTTTGTTCGAGGGAGGAACCAGCAACATTCCCTACAGCTTCCAATATTTTCTGAGTTACCTCCTGAAATGGCAAACAGTGACAAGCAGTGCATACAAAAACACCACATACAGGATTTTTAGAGTAGCATTTGTCATTACAGTAAGGAGGCAAAGGTGCAAAACAGAAGAAAAACAAAGCACCTGATGAAATTTTATTCTAGAAAATATGTCCACCATATAGGACATCTTGTGTCCCCAGATGTTCTTGGACTAAAATTCCCAGAAGCCTTCACCACTAGGTGTGCTCGCTAGGAATATTGGGAATTGTAGTCCAAGTATATTTGGGGACCCAGGGTTAGGAACCAATGATTTGACATGGTCTAGAGGGGCGGGGTAAAAATCAAACAAACAAACAAACAAACAAACAAACAAACAATTAAATAAATAAATAAATAAATGATTTATGATGATACAATTTTTATCACTGGAACACTTCAACAAATTTTGAAAGACATTCACAGTTGCACTAGTGAAAGTCATCCCTTTAGCTGCTACGACGTAGACTGATCCCACAGCATGAAAGTGCTTTAGCTTTCTTGGTAGTTTATTTCAAAAGACCTCTGGGATCTCTCCCAGTTTTGTCATTCTATTGATTCCATGATTCTAGTCAGGTGCCTGCAAGCAAAATGCAGTACGCAGCTATTCCATCTTTTCCTTCTCTGTGAATTTTCTGTGATAAAGCCTTCCAAAATACATTTCCATGCTTGAGCACGGCTGACTGTACATTAAGGCTGGAACTGTCCTAAGACTATTAAATACTAATCTTAATAATTATGAAGTTACACATACCCAAAAACACTAACAACAAAAATGTGTCACTAAATACCTGCAGATCTTTCTGATCCTTCTTATTTTCTTGGTTTGGTGTTCTGGTCACAAAATCATTCAGGGTGCTGTAGAAGAATAAACTCAACTTAGCAAAATGACCAATTGCCAATATCAGTGCAGGCACTAAATGCATTGGTGTAATCATACCTTAGAAGCAAAAAATACCCTGGTGGTGCCAAATTTAATTGCACAGACTCCTTCAAAACTCCTAACAATGACTGGAAGTTCTCCTGGAGGGCTACTGCAGGAAGTCTGAGGAGAGGCAAAAAAATAAAAATAAAAGAAGTCATCAGTTCTGCTGGAAAATATTGAAGGCATGTGTTTTAGAAGAATGTGTTTTAGAAAGGAATTTAAAACAGTGGCAGGTGAAAACCTCCCTTTTAAACTTGGCTTTTGAATTTTAAATACCCTTGTAGAACTGCATCTATAGCTATATCTTGTAAGAGGATGCAGCATTTTCCCCCAGCATATTTTATTAGATTTTAAAGATGTTTTAACTTGTTTAATGATGTCAGTTTAATGTTATTTGAACAGTAAAGCTAGCGACCAATTAAATCAAAGAAGATGGATATATTAGCTAGCTTATAGATAGAAAGGCATACAGATAAAAACAGTTGTTGATAGTCAATAGATACTGAAAAGTAGCCTTTTTTCTTGTGAATGAATGGCTTCAGAAATATATACTAGCCTGACAGCTTCAACAAATATGAAGCAATATAAAAATTAATTGATTTAAGGTAGAGACAGAAGAAGAAAGGAAGAATATGATCAACTAATAGACGTTGTATGCTGACTGGCCATTTTTTATACAGTACTTGGGATGGAGATTAAATTTCTATAATGCTAGTCTACCTGCATAATCTCTGTATATTTTCAAATATTAATGGATGAGTTTCAATTGTTGAGACCTGAGGATGTGGACAGGTTGCCTGAATCTGTGCGTTCTACCACCACTCCGCTTGACCATTGCCCATCTTAGCTAATTGGAAGATCTGCCAGAGGGGTTCGCACTTGGGTCCAGGAGGCCATGAATGCCTCTTTGAGAGATGGAGTGGTCCATACCACCTTGAAAGAGGCGGTAATTCAACCACTCCTTAAAAAGCCTAACCTGGATCCAAGGCTGGTGGTTAACTACCGACCAGTGGCGAACCTCCCTTATTTGGGCAAAGTGTTGGAGTGGGTTGTGGCCGGGCAACTCCAGGCGCTGCTGGATGAAATGGATTTTCTGGATCCATTTCAATTGGGTTTCAGGCCAGGTTTTGGTACGGAGACTGCCTTGGTGGCCCTATACAATGACCTTTGCCGGGACAGAGACAGGGGGAGTGTGACCCTGTTGATACTCCTGGACCTCTCAGCTGCTTTCGACCCCATCGACCATGGTATCCTTCTGGATAGGCTGACTGGGTTGGGAGTTGGGGGCACTGCTTTATGGTGGTTCTGCTCCTTCCTAGCTGACTGTGTCCAGAGGGTGGTGCTGGGAGACAGCTGCTCTGCCCCATGGCATTTATGTCATGGGG